CCTCCTGCACCCATACCCCCTCCCAGACCCTGCACTCCCTTCTGCACCCCTGCCCCAGGTCACAACCTCCTCCTGCACCCATACCCCCTCCCAGACCCTGCACTCCCTTCTGCACCCCTGCCCCAGGTCACAACCTCCTCCTGCACCCATACCCCCTCCCAGACCCTGCACTCCCTTCTGCACCCCTGCCCCAGGTCACAACCTCCTCCTGCACCCATACCCCCTCCCAGACCCTGCACTCCCTTCTGCACCCCTGCCCCAGGTCACAACCTCCTCCTGCACCCATACCCCCTCCCAGACCCTGCACTCCCTTCTGCACCCCTGCCCCAGGTCACAACCTCCTCCTGCACCCATACCCCCTCCCAGACCCTGCACTCCCTTCTGCACCCCTGCCCCAGGTCACAACCTCCTCCTGCACCCATACCCCCTCCCAGACCCTGCACTCCCTTCTGCACCCCTGCCCCAGGTCACAACCTCCTCCTGCACCCATACCCCCTCCCAGACCCTGCACTCCCTTCTGCACCCCTGCCCCAGGTCACAACCTCCTCCTGCACCCATACCCCCTCCCAGACCCTGCACTCCCTTCTGCACCCCTGCCCCAGGTCACAACCTCCTCCTGCACCCATACCCCCTCCCAGACCCTGCACTCCCTTCTGCACCCCTGCCCCAGGTCACAACCTCCTCCTGCACCCATACCCCCTCCCAGACCCTGCACTCCCTTCTGCACCCCTGCCCCAGGTCACAACCTCCTCCTGCACCCATACCCCCTCCCAGACCCTGCACTCCCTTCTGCACCCCTGCCCCAGGTCACAACCTCCTCCTGCACCCATACCCCCTCCCAGACCCTGCACTCCCTTCTGCACCCCTGCCCCAGGTCACAACCTCCTCCTGCACCCATACCCCCTCCCAGACCCTGCACTCCCTTCTGCACCCCTGCCCCAGGTCACAACCTCCTCCTGCACCCATACCCCCTCCCAGACCCTGCACTCCCTTCTGCACCCCTGCCCCAGGTCACAACCTCCTCCTGCACCCATACCCCCTCCCAGACCCTGCACTCCCTTCTGCACCCCTGCCCCAGGTCACAACCTCCTCCTGCACCCATACCCCCTCCCAGACCCTGCACTCCCTTCTGCACCCCTGCCCCAGGTCACAACCTCCTCCTGCACCCATACCCCCTCCCAGACCCTGCACTCTCTTCTGCACCAGTCTCCTGCCCGGGTCACAACCCCCTCCTGCACCCATACCCCCTCCAGATCCCACAATCTCTCCTGCACCCCAATCCCTGACCCCAAGCTCCCTTCTGTATCCAACCTCCATTAATATCAGGGAAAAGTGCAGCCCTTGACCACTTACTGAATTCTGGAGGTGGCCCCTCCCCATTAAAATTCTCTCCCCCCCCCAGGCTAAACCATCCTGTTCTACTGGGGCGATGGTAGCTCCCTAGAAGTGGGAGCTTCTTGCTGCCTCTTCCCTCAAGTTCCTGCCTTCAAACTGCCCCTTCCCCCCACGTCCATTCTACCCCGGAGGTCCCACCTGTGCACCTCCCCTTCCCCCAGAAACTCTACCCCTGCATCCCCCGATCCCAGAAGCCCCATCCCCGGCCTCCTCTGTTCCAGCATCCCTGCTGCCCCAGCATCCTGCGATTTGATCCCCAACCTGGCTGTGGGCCCATGTGCATCCAGCCCCCTGCATCCAGCTGGCGCCTGCCCTGTCCCGTACACACCACGCTTCAAGCTGCTTCTTCCCAGAGCTTCCGCCCAAGGATGGACTAGCGGCCTCAGCAGAGACGTGCTCCGTGTGGGTGGAGAGAAGTTACCGTACACAGCCTCCGGCTCGACGGTGTGAAAACGGGCTGCACAGGCAGCGACAGGTAAGGATCACGTCATGCTGCAGCAAGCGGGGGGGAGGTGGAGGAACACGAAAGTCAGCGAGCGAGATGGGACAGCGGTGAAGCCCAGCGGGCAATTCCCGGGGTGCATGCACGACGGAAGGAAAAGCAGAAATGCAGGGGAAAGGCAGCACAACGCCGGGCACAGGCTGCAGAAAAACTGACCCTCTAGGCTGCTGCTGCTTCCAGTCTCATAGAAACTGGAGTGAAAACTCGTTCGCTACCCCACAGCAGTGCTCCCTGTAAGCTGAGGACTTAGGCAGCCACCCAGGAGACAGTCCAATGCTGATTAGTAAAGTGCCCACCGCTTCCCACAGCCGGCAGCATGCGTTGCTACTGGTGGTGCACATCCACACATGCCTCTGTGCACAGAACAAAATTTATTCCACACACCGGTGGGGGAAAAAATGACACCCGCTGTTGCACAGACCCTGGTACAACACAAAATGGACTTGTCAGAAGCACTGGCTTACGTGAGGAGCAATGCAACCTGTAGGACCCTGAAAGGGCGTTGTGGTTCGGAACATGGACATGGCCTTTTAAAGGGGCTACATCGGGGTGGGCAATCATTTTTGGAAGGGGCCCCGGAAGGGGCGAGGCCTCGTGCAAAAGGGGCGGGGCCAGGAGACTGCTCCTGATTGGCCTGGGGGTGAAGGAGCACATGAAGTCTTTCCCTCCCCGCCCCGGTGCCTAGAGAGAATCACCAGCTGTTTTAAAACAGCCAGCGGGTCCCTCTAGGCACCGCAGCGGGAGGAGACCTTGTGCACGCTCCCTTCCCCCAGGCCAATCAGGGCCGGCGGGAAGGGGAATATGCAAAGTATCTCGCCTCCTGCTGGTAGTTCCCCTCTGATGCTGTGCACCCTATCAGGGGGCGGAGACTTCGGCAACTTCCCCGTCCCGAAGTCTCGATTGGCCTGGGGGTGGGGCCGCTGCAGGGCAGCCGTGGGCCGGATCTACCGGCTTGGTGGGTCGAATTCGGCCCATGGAGGTTCCTTTGCCCACGCCAGGCTACATGCTTTATGGCCGAGCCAATTGCTTTGGGCAGATTGCATTTTTACCCAAGCAGGAGCAACCCCGCTTGTTCAGAGATGACTTCAGTTTGAATCCTAAGCGATGTTACCAACAGACGTATCATAGAATACTAGGACTGGAAGGGACCTCGAGAGGTCGAGTCCAGTCCCCTGGCCTCATGGCAGGGCCAAATACTGTCCAGACCATCCCTGATAGACATTTATCCAACCTACTCTTAAATATCTCCAGAGATGGGGATTCCACCACCTCCCTGGGCAATTTATTCCAGTGTTTGACCACCCTGACAGGTAGGAACTTTTTCCTAATGTCCAACCTAAACCTCCCTTGCTGCAGTTTAAGCCCCTTGCTTCTTGTTCTATCCTCAGAGGCCAAGAGGAACAAGTTTTCTCCCTCCTCCTTGTGACACCCTTTTAGATACCTGAAAACCGCTCTCATGTCCCCCCTCAATCTTCTCTTTCCTAAGCTAAACAAACCCAGTTCTTTCAGCCTTCCCTCATAGCTCATGTTCTCTAGACCTTTCATCGTTCTTGTCGCTCGTCTCTGGACCCTCTCCAATTTCTCCACATCCTTCTTGAAATGCGGTGCCCAGAACTGGACACAATACTCTAACTGAGGCCTGACCAGCGCAGAGTAGAGCGGCAGAATGACTCCTCGTGTCTTGCTCACAACACACCTGTTCATGCAGCCCAGAATCCTGTTTGCTTTTTTTGCCACAGCATCACACTGCTGCCTCATATTCAGCTTGTGGTCCACTATAACCCCTAGATCCCTTTTTGCCGGACTCCTTCCTAGACAGTCGCTTCCCATTCTGTATGTGTGAAACGGATTGTTCCTCCCTAAGTGGAGCACTTTGCATTTGTCCTTATTAAATGTCATCCTGTTTCCCTCCGACCATTTCTCCAATTTGTCCAGATCATTTTGCCGGGAGAGGCATAAGGATCTTGAGCAAAAAGAAAACCCACACGGCTTGTTTTTGTGCAAAACCGGCTCGAATAGATTATGCAAATTAAGCATGACAAAATGCTAATCACCACTTCATTTGCATACTCCCTGCTGGCAAAAGCCGGCAATGTAGCCAACGGCAGGTTTTGGAAAAGCACCAGCAAACATTTGCCAAGACTTAGCCAACTCATCCATGGTCTTTTGGCAGCCTGGGACAATTCAGTTGACACTGGGCCCGGTTTCTCCAGACTTGGACAGTGCTCACCCTACAATTTTACTGTGTGTCACTGGAAAGTGTGAGGAAGCCTGGCCAAATGAGTTGTCATGTGCCCTAAGGGTGCGTGCGTGTCAGGCCCACCCACAGGGATGAGAGGGGAGGGATAGCTCAGTGGTGTAGTTTGAGCATTGGCCTGCCAAACCCAGGGTTGTGAGTTCAATTCCTGTGGAGGCTATTTAGGGCAAAAATTTGTCAGGGACGGTACTTGGTTCTGCTGTAAAAGCAGTGGACTGGACTTGATGACCTTTCAAGGTCCCTTCCAGTTCTAGAAGATACACAATCTCCATTGATTTAGGGGGAAGCAGGGCAAATTTGCCCTGGAGCACTGCTCCACAGAACTCTGAGGACTTGGAAGGAAGGGCCCAGAGTCACACTCTGGGTGGCCCCTAAGGGCTGACTGCCCTTGGCCCATCCCCTGAGGCTCTGCCCCTTCTAGGAGCATGCAGCTGGCTCTCCCAGGCCTGCGGTGGCTGCCAGCCCTGCTGGTTGGTGTATATCTGTATGCTGATATAGGTGGTATACAGATATTTGCAGTAAAACAATAGTTTGCTTTAAGCAGAAACGTAATGACTCCAAATTTCCCTGGGCTAGTAGATTATTGCCTAAAATAACCCCAACTTTTACGTTAATTGCATGATCTTGCCTCACAAGGAGTTTGTTTTGTGTTTACAGTGATGAAGAGGATCCCTTTGGACATGTGTTCTCTTGTAAACTGAACAATTTCGGCTGTCAATCATTTTTTAAAACAAAGAACAGGACTATGTAGCACTTTAAAGACTAACAAGATGGTTTATTAGGCAAGGAGCTTTCGTCACCTAATAAACCATCTCGTTAGTCTTTAAAGTGCTACATAGTCCTGTTCTTTGTTTCAGCTAGACCAGACTAACACGGCTACGTTTCTATCAGTAATCATTTTTTAAAAGTGTCTGTCAGTATCGTCATGTAGGGACCAGCACTTCCGTGCTGTACCAGGTTACACTGTGCTCGGGTTTCTCAGCGTGGATTTTCTGTATTAATACAATGCCCATGCGAAATTTCCAAAACATACCATTTGAAAAGCCAAAGTGACTTTGCTTTCACTGGTGGAAATCACCAGCTTAGCAGCCATGCGAATGCACAACACGGTTGTATTACTTTCGATGGACTATATGGGCCAAGGGAATTGACACAACCAGTGACTATCCAGCATTAAACAGTTTGCAACAAGGTGCAGAGCTGAGTAGACATCCGTTTGCACCTGCTTCGCCTCATGCCGTTCAAAAGCCTTGTAACCGTGTATTGAAGATAAAGAAAAGGAGGAAAACAAGCTGCAGCATTTGCCACGTCAAGTATGGACTTCGGTTTCGTTTGAACGCCGTCCCTAGTTCCCGTGAGTGGGAGAGAGCTTTAGAAGGAAATATTCCCTCATTTGAAATCCTCTTCCAGTGTTCGCAGCCGTGTTGTGACTTGCTCGTGCCAGGATTCGAGAGAAAAACGTGGATGAGCTCACAGTTTCTGTCGGTCCGATAAAAGACTTTATTTAACCTGTCTTGTCAGTCTCTTGGATGATACTCAAGATAACTCTCATGTGGGAAAAGAGAAGTTAGTGGAAATGAGCCAGAGCTACTGTTTCATTCCATGTCATCTCAAGTCGCGTGTAGGCTTCATCCGGGGCCAACAGGGGTCACAGTGTCATCTGGATCCTTCTCTCTGGCCTGGTCTGTTTCGAATATGTTGGAACTCAGGGTGACAAAAGTCCGGGGTCCCAGGAACCATGGTGGGGGCAGCTGCTGGTCTGGTCTTCGACTGCTCCAAAGGCTGTTGTAAATAAAAGTTGGCAAAAAGTTGTTTTCTCTCGTGGCAGAGGGCAGGACAAGAGGCAGGGGGTTCAAACTCCAGCAGTGCGAATTTAAATTAAATCTCAGGCCAAACTTCCTAACCGTAAGAAGAGCAGCGGAAGGGAACAGATGCCTCAGGAGACTTTGGAAGCTCCTTCGCTGGAGGTTTCCAAACGGACGCAGGTGCCGTCTGTTTTGGCTGGTTTAGACCCAACAAATGCGACACCTTGACAGGGGGGTAGACTGGGACCCTTCTTGCTCATTCCAGCAGCTTCCAATTGTGCTTTCTTAGGATCTGGCTACGCTACCAAGTTTTGTCAACAAAAAGCTGCCTTCTGGTGACAAAACAGCCAGAGCGCGCACACTGACCTGCGACTTTTGTGGGGGAAAACCACGGGTTTCGGCAACAAACAAACTTCCACCCCTACCAGAGACTTTTTCTTTTCTTTTCCCCGCTCTGTACTTTCGACAAAGAGCCAGTGTAGACCCTGTTGTCTGTTTTGTTGACAGAACCGGCTTCCACCAGCATCCCACCATGCCTGCCATGATGACTCTACTCAGTGTTCTGTGATCTCTGCTGCCCTGCAAGCATGTGCCCCTCCCCTTTCAAACTTCCAAGAAGTGTCTGGCAGCTAAGTGAGCTGCTCCCTTTGGGGAACAAACAAAACAGAGCAAATCACTGGCATGCTCCTGATCTGCCCTGCCCTAGGAACACAGCAGCAGGCAGATGGCTGTCGCAGGGGGAGGGGGACAGATGCTGCGCTGCTCTGGAGAGTTCACCGAGCCACTAAGACCTCTCCCAGCAGCAGGGGAAGAACTCAGAGGGAAACCCAAGATGCGTAGGGATCCGCTCTGCCTCCCCACAACATTGCACAGTGGGATACATACTCACAATGCCTTGCTCACACTGTCAATGACGGCACTCTCCCTCCCCCACAACTGTGGATGTGACCTGTTCACAGAAGGAACAAGTGTGAACGCCCTCCGGCGACTTTTGTTTTGTCGACTTCTTTGCATCGACATAAGTTTTGTCGACAAAATTTGGTCGCGTAGACATGCCCCCAAAGTCTCTTAAGGATCCCAAAGTCCCACCAGGGACTCACAGTGGGGCAGAATTTCTGACTCACTGAATTAGGTCCATTGGTTTCCGGGACTTACATGTTCTTGTTCATCAGGAACAAACTTAACCCAGTCCCGGAGTTCTAACAGGAGCTGGTTTGTGTCGGCCAGTTCTGGCTTTCTGTCTCCTTGGCACAGCTCTTCCCACTGGCTTTTCATCATAAGATACTAGGACTTCTCCTGCTTTTGACAACTGTGCTCCGTTATAACAATGTCCCATTGCCCGTGGGCTACCGTAATACACCGAAAAGCTCTCCAAATGCACTGGGCCTAGCACAGTGGCTTGCTGGGCCATGTCCTGGGTCCCCGGGCACTACCGTAATAGACCTAATAATAATCAATGTTCATGGCAGGGGACAAGGTATGTCATTTTGTTGCTGCCGGCTGTCTCTCTGCCCTGGGTGAGGGCAGGCTGGCCTCAGAGCGCTATTTTTTGGGTGAACTGAACCATGAGCAAAAGTGTCAAACCCAAGTCATTTTGTCTGCCGTTCCCAGAGGCGTTTTCCTCCCCTCGCAGCCCCTCCAGGACTCTTGCGAGCACACTCTTGCCCCCGCCTGCCTTAGCCAGCTGCCCTCCTGGATACCCCCAGGCTCCTAGCCCCACAGCCTCAGTTCGGAGAGAGCGGAGAGGTCCGGGGAGGGGCTGAGATCATCTCCCCTTAAAGGGCCACTCAGCCTGTGATATAGTCTCCTCCTTTGCAAGTGCCTTCCCCCCCCGCCCCCCGCACTCCCTGCCCAGGATGCTCTCTCACTCACGCAGTAGCCCAGGGTCTCCTGCTCCTCCTTTCCAGCCCTGCTGGGGGATTTCAGTCCCAAACGCAGCCAGCTCTCCGCTGCACTCAGCGCTCCGTGTGCTCCCCCTCCAGTCTGCCTGCTCCAGACCTGCACGGGGAGAAGAGGCGACCGACGGGGGCTCATGTAGCGGGTGGAGCTGCTGACGCGTGGGGAGGTATCCAAGGCCACTCGTCCCCACCCTCCTGGCTGGGGCTACCCGCTCCCCCCTCCACCCCAGCCAGGGCAGGCCTCCCACCCACCTCCCAGAACTCCAGGAGATCCCCGCAGACTGTCCTGCCTGCGCCGGGGACGGCAGGCCGTGCCGTCCGTCGCAGCGCTGCTGCCGGGAGGGAGAGCTGGCACGGCAGCCAGAGATGCTGGGGCGGGGGAGGGGCTGGGGTGGATTGGGGGGCAGGGCTTGGGGCCTGCTACCGTGCCCTGGGAGGGCAGTACAGCCAAGCTGTCCCTCATGGAGAACACCCGGCCAGCCGCTTTCACCCCACGGGGCTCCGGCATGGGAGGGGGCCTGGAGGAAGAGTCTGTCAGCCAGGGAGCTCCGAAGCCACTTGGGTCTTTGCAGCCCCAACCCGGCAGAGAGCAGCTAGCCCAGAGGCATCTATTTACCCAGGGAGCAGGTTCGGCACAGGCCGGGCACGTCGCAGGCGGCACCCCCGTGGGAAGGCTGCAGCACATTGCCTGTCGGGGGCTGCGGGTCTCCAGGCGCCTGCGGGGGCAGCGGCGCTGTCTGGTTTCACACGTGGAGCTGTCTCCGTGAGCTCAAGCCTCCGCAGGAATGTCCTGGAGCCCAGCCAGCAACCGCAGGGCCGCACAGAGCGAGCCGGGCGTGGGGCCGTTGGCTTCCAGTGTTATGGGAGGAGGCAGAGGATTCGTCTGAGACCAGGGCCCCGACATGCCAGGCGCTGCCCTGACCCCGACCGAGACCAGGGCCCCGACATGCCAGGCGCTGCCCTGACCCCGACCGAGACCAGGGCCCCGACATGCCAGGCGCTGCCCTGACCCCGACCGAGACCAGGGCCCCGACATGCCAGGCCCTGCCCTGACCCCGAGTAGGAGACAGTCCCTGCCCCAAAGTGCTCCCGGTGACACAGATCTCCCCCAGAGGGTGGGGACTGATGGGGTCCTCTCCCCACTCCCGTGGTTGCCATGGAAACAAACCAGGAGAGGAATGAGCTGTTCCCCTTCTGGCTGTTTTCCTGCCTTTCCCCTTCATGCCAGGGGTGGGCCCAGATGTGCGGGATAGGGGTTGGCCCAGATGTGCAGGAAAGGGAGGGGAGCCCGCCCCCCTGCCTGGTCCCTCGTCCCCTCGTGCAGTCTGGGTGCAGCTGTAACCCACACACCTAGTGGGCACTGAGGGCACAGCAACAGCTAAGAGCAAGGGAACTTATAGCACCAGCTAGCTTATAGCTCAGCAGGTAGAGGCTTCTCTACTGAGCTCCAGAGGGCCCAGGTTCAAATCCACGTCAGGATAGTTACATAGCCTCTGACCTGGCTTAACTGTTGCCCTCGTGCAGTCTGGGTGCAGCTGTAACCCACACACCTAGTGGGCACTGAGGGCACAGCAACAGCTAAGAGCAAGGGAACTTATAGCACCAGCTAGCTTATAGCTCAGCAGGTAGAGGCTTCTCTACTGAGCTCCAGAGGGCCCAGGTTCAAATCCACGTCAGGATAGTTACATAGCCTCTGACCTGGCTTAACTGTTGCAGAGTGGGGTGTGTGTGTGAATGCACTAATTCCCAGCCCCAACATGACTGCCTCACATCACCCAGGAGGGGTGTAGAAGAGGAATCCTTGTCCTCGCAGGTGGAGGAAGAGGTTAGCTTCTGTCCAGGGCAGTGAGTGAGTGAATTGGACAGCAAGTAGCCAGGGCTTCTCCAGCCAGGGAGATGTCATTACAGGGGCTCCTTCAAAGCTAGCAGCAGAACTGGTGTCTCTCAGGACAGGTAGAGCCTCCTCCCCAGTCTTTGCTTGTCAGTGGTGATGCTTCTCTAGAAGTTTGCGAGATGACCTAATACTTTAGGGAAATGATTAGCTAAGGAAGAGCTAAGCAGGACTCAGGTTTCATTACAGAAATTGGGGTGCAAGAAGAAGGGATGTAAAATCCAGTTTAATCAGTTAAATGTTATGTTTTACCAGTTAAACACTTAAGCAGGGGCAGGTGGGATGGAACAGCCCCCTAACCACGGCATACGGGGGGCTGCTCCAGCCCCCACCAGTTAACCATAGCTGGTACCCAGTAAGGGTGATGCTTACTGGTTAACCTAACCATTCACTTCCCTAATGACTTCATGTGAGAAAAAAAATAAATGAAGACAATTGATAAGGGAAGCTAAAAGCATACATGGCCAGAAAGGTTAAGGATAATAATCTACTACATATTTGAAAGAGTTTGTCTGTGAGTCTGTCTGTCTGTTCGAAAACTCCTCCTAATCAAGGAGACCGGCTAGGAAAGAAAGGAAAAGGAGAAGAAAGCTCACCTCTAAGACGCAGCCCGATATCAGAGTTGGGTATGGACACTTCTGTGACCCTCTCCGGGTACCTCACCTTTGCCCTTCTGTGGATTCAAGGCACAACCTGTTTAATTTAGATGCCTCCATCCTTACCCAGTTCCTAGAGCTCTGGGAGGAACCTGGTTAATTCCAGGTGGCTTTGCCAGGCCTTTTCCCAAGGAAAGTGCCTTACTCAGTGACATCGCTAACATCTGTTGGGTAGCAATCCCCAAGCAGAACACACGCGCTAAGCGCACACTGCTATGCTCACGCATCCTGGCCATGCAGGCAGACTGCTCTGGGTGGCCAGGCAAGGTGGGTCTCCTTCGGGCTCTGGCCACTGCACTTCTGGAAGAGTGTTCTAGCAGCTCTGAGTTTGGGCTGTGTCTTACTCTGAGTTCTCCTCCTCCTCCTCTTGTCCTTTCTTTCCCAGCTGGTCTCCTTCCTGGCCCCCAGTTTATATAGTGAAACTGGAAGACTCACCCAGTGTTGCCCAGATCCGGCCTAGGGGTGAAAAGGGGGTCACAAAGCAGGGGGACTGATGGGCTGTGTCTAGACTGGCAAGTTTTTCCGCAAAATCAGCTGCTTTTGCGGAAAAACTTGCCAGCTGTCCACACTGGCCGCTTGCATTTCCGCAAAAGCACTGACTTCCTACTGTCTGAAATCAGTGCTTCTTGCGGAAATACTATGCTGCTCCTGTTCGGGCAAAAGTCCCTTTTGCGCAAAGCTTTTCCGCAAAAGGGCCAGTGTAGACAGCTCAGATTTGTTTTGCGCAAAAAAGTCCCGATTGCGAAAATGGCGATCGGGGCTTTTGTGTGGGAAAGCGCGTCTAGATTGGCCACGGACGCTTTTCTGCAAAAAGTGCTTTTGCGGAAAAACATATGTGCCGATGTAGACGCGCTTTTCCGCAAATGCTTTTAACGGAAAACTTTTCCGTTAAAAGCATTTGCGGAAAATTATGCCAGTGTAGACGTAGCCGGGGTGCTTCCTGGGCCCAGCCCGGGGCTGGGGAGGGGACCAGTCCAGAGAGAGGGCCGGTGCAGGGGAGGAGGCTGTTGCGCAAACTTCCCACTGGCAGGGTGTGTGTGTGTGTGCAGACCAGCCCTGACCCAGAGGGTAGTGGTGAGGGCCACACAGGTTGGCACTGGTGGCACTCCCTGGCCTGGCCGAGGAAGGGAAGGTTGGGGTCCACACAGACCCCTGCAGGAGTGCTTAGGAGGTGGGGTGTGGCACCTGCAGGAGGGGGATAAATGGGGATGCCAGGACATGGTAGTGCTTGGAGGAGCGGGGGAGTGGTCCAGCCCTGGGGCTGAGGGCTGGAGGAGGCAGGGTTTCGGGCAGATGGGCTAGTGGTGTTGGTGAGCCCCGTCCTCAGATGTCCACGCCCTTTCTGGTGGGGCTGCCCCCTGTCATCACTCTGCAGTATCGCATCCTTCCAAACAGGCCCCTCCCTTTCCACGTTATGGAACACAGTCGAATTCCAGGCACATCCCATTGTCCTGGCACAACCAAACCCCGACCTGGCTTTAAGTTAGGAGAAGAGGAAGCTGCAGAGCAAAGTTGGTGGTCCTAGCTCTCACCATTTAGGAAGAGTTCTTGAACAAATGGACTTGCAGGCAGACAGACGGACTCACAGACACACAAATCTCTAAGAGATAGATAGACAGATAGACAGACAGATTAGCTAGATAGTGGGGTATGTCTACACTACAGCACTAATTCGAACTAACTTAATTCGAATTAGTTAATTGAACTAAGCTAATTTGAATTAGCTCATCTAGACCTAAAAACTAATTCAAATTAGCATTTTGCTAATTCAAACTAGCGTGTCCACACTGATTGGACGCTGGGTCGCATTTAAGGGCAGCTGAAACCAGGTCCAGCAGTGCATCAGGTCAGTAGTTAATTTGTGTGGCTGCTGTCTGAGGCTATCTGAGGCTCGTGCTTAAAGGGACCCCCCTGGACAGCCGGTTCTCAGCTTTTCCGCTTGCTTGCCTACCTCGCCAAGGGACAGCAAAGCGTTTTTCTCTGCGCCCGTCTGTGTCGGTGCTTCCCTTCGGGGATGCCACCGCAGGTGGCAACATGGAGCCAGAGCTCGCCCTGCACCTTCTGGTGCACTTGACCCCCCCTGGACAGCCGGTTCTCAGCTTTTCCGCTTGCTTGCCTACCTCGCCGAGGGACAGCAAAGCGTTTTTCTCTCCGCCTGCCTGTGTCAGTAGTTCCCATTGGAGACACCGCCACAGTTGGTGTGACGTAGTGGGGGTACCTGGCTGGTTTCTATGCTGCTGGCTCTGGGGTAACCCCCACTGGCTGTCGTGGGGACCACGACCCAGCAAAACAGGATGAGTCACTATGCAAACCAGTGGCCAGACACCCCCCATGGAGAGGAACAAAGGAAGGTGGAATGCTGCCTTGGCTGGGGGGCAGGGCTGGAAGTTAGTGAGTTGGTTGCTGGCTGTCGGAGGGCATGGAGGAGAGCCTAGGGGAAGGGGCTGGAGTTTAGGGGCCCAGTCTCCCCCATCTCAAGGGGGCCTGAGGCATCCTAGCCCAGTTCCTGTAACCAGATTACATCTGTGCTGCGCTGTGCTGGAGGAGCAATAAACCACCCTCAATTCCACTGGCTGGTGCAGTCTGTTTGTGCCATTTCGGGGTGCAGGAGAC